AAACATATTTACCATCCTTACTGTATATAGTTAAATTAAACTGTGGGAATTTGATGGCGTTTAGAAGTAAAGCAAATTAGCCTTAAGCTAATTAAATATGACGGTTCAGCATGAGGCAAGAGAAAGTTGAGTACCTCACACTTTGAACTGTAATGCTATGCTACTAGTATAGGCCTATTGAAGTCAGTATAAAATACTCTGAAAATTTCTCTCCAAAACACACAGAGATCTTAACACTTTCAAGGGTTGGAAGGGGGTAATGGAGAGACACCTGTTTTGTATTTGCCTATTTGATGGCATGTTGATTAGAGAGCCATCTCCAAACTTAAAGCGTTTTTTTGCAGACACTAAATATGAGGAAGCAGAGGCCTCTAGGAAAAGGCATATACACAGAAGTCTCTAGGATTTGTTATTTCTATCTAGTGTAGGAGTAATTTTGCATCTCATCCAAAAATAGCCAAATAATTTTCCCCCCTAGGGTCATGAAGAATATTTGCAAAATCCCCCAGTCTCTTTAATATGGTCTCCCTGTCATGGTGAGGGTTATCAGTAGTGGAATTCTCAACCCTTTCAGGATTCCCTGGCCCTCATTTTTCTTTTTGATTTAGGTTAATATTTTGTACAAACAGTGCATTATGAAGACTAGACACCCAATAAATCAGGTTTTTAATGGATAATTTATAATTCTGCCTTATTTTACAAAACTACAATTGTATGTATTTATTTTATATTGTTCTGATCTTACTGGTATTTGACCATAATAAAATTACTACTACTACTACTCAACAAAAATTTGTTTATGTTTATGTGAAAAGACTGAGAATTTTGGTGTATGAAATATAAAATTCAGTTACCGGATTCTTCTATGCCTCTGTAAGCGTAGGAAGCTGACCTCACAGGTATAGGTCAGTATGGTAACACAGTTCACACCTTCAACTCATCTCCTACTATTGAATGCTTTAAAGGAAGGACTGTGCAAGGGAACAGATGCTTCCATGCTTACCTTTATCAGAGGACATATCAAAACAGTTCCACAAGGGCATTAACACTTTTTCTGTAACCATGACTAGAAAGGGGTCAGCCTGCTTCCTTTCCAGAGAGTTGTACAGGTTTGACAGTGTGAATGGCACCAGATCAGGAAGTGCCTTTTGTCTTGACAGAACTTGAAAGGGCTTTAAGATGTGGTTGGCAGCAATTGTGTAAATGGCCCATTTACTTTTATAAAAGGGGTTAGGGAAATGAGTTATTTAGCCTAGTATGTCTCTGAAGAGAACAATGCTTCACTCCCTTGCGCCTCAAGAACTCAGCTTGACAGACAAGGAGAATCTAGCTCTGTTTGTTGTCCTATGAAGCTATGCTGGAGGCGACTCTCTGTGTATACCTACAAACTACACTATCTCTCTGCTAAGGTATGAGCATTAGACAGGGTAGATTAGCTTTTATTATTTTCTAGTTTCTTTTCTTCCTAAATGCTCAAAAGCATATCTCCTCTTTGTTCCTATCTTTTAAAAAATTGTTTTTGTAACAATTTGGAACTTTTACTCTTTTATCCTTTTGAATTCTTTCTCTTTTTAATAAATTACAAAAATCCTTTCACACAACTGTCTGCATTTTGACTGAGGGTTAATGGTACTTAAAACAGCCCTAGCCTCATTCAGTTACTGGAATTTTTTGGAGGGAGGGGCAGGATTTGTGTGTGGTGCTGGTGGCAGCTGCCTAGCTTTGGGAATCTCTTTCATTGTTTGTGTGCTCAACTTCCTGGAACACCTCTAAGTCTGGGAGACTAGGCAGGTGTTGGAGGGGGGTGACTAGTCAAACTCCATCAGGCGTCATCACATATGACTCTTTCTTGATGTTCCCACTCCACTATGAGCAACAGCAGTGTGGGTGAGTAGCTGTAAGGAGGAAGGCCTGACTGGGGAACTGTGACAGCTTGCATGAAATGGGGCCTTGCTCAAACAGAAGTAGTCAAGGGAGGTTTTCATTGTTCATCACTTCTGAGTTTCCATTGATAAAGGATTCTTTAAACCTACTGTTTCTGTTTAGGTCTGCTTGATGTCTTCCCAGAAAGTGTTACTTCTTTTGTGTTATTTCTATCTTCCCCTTGAGCAATGATGTCTGTGCCAAAAATGAAATGTATTGCTTTGTGTCCCTTTGAGTAGCACTGATGACAGTGATAATTGGGGGGGGAAGCTGAAGAATACTTCACATCATCTTTTTGTTTGGCTTCAAGGTTGAGACATACCATTTGTCTCCCTGTATTTTTCATGAATTCAGGAGGGTTATATGATACTGGAAAACATTCCTGGAATATGTAGGCTGTGATCAGCTAGAGTTACAATTCATGTGCATCTCTGTAAACTTGCTTATACATAGATGAGAACTGTTTTGTAAATGCTGATGAGATAGCAAGGTCAGAAACAAGGCATGTGTGCCTTTTCTAAGGGGAATTTACTTTCTGGGTTTACAGGAGAATAGTGAGTGCTGCATAGCTCAGTGATTTAGGTATCTGGCCGCAGAGCCAGAGGTTGGAAATTCTATTTCCCACTGTGCCTCTGGTGAGTAGAGCCTGCCTGTGTGGCCTTGGGTAAGTTGCACAGCCCCAGAGTCGCCCCTAGAAGAAGGGAATTGTAGAAACATTTCTGAGCACTCTCAACCTAGAAAATCCTGAAAAGGGCCACCATAAGTCAGCATATAATAATTATTATAGTTAAAGGAGACTCCAGCACTATTTAGAACTTGTTCAACCTACACTGTGAATATGTGTAGATGGGAATGTGTGTTACCCACTCACCCCATTGTTATGCTCTTCACAGTTACAGCACTGGATCTCAAAAGAAGTGTAGTCCTGCTCATCTATAGGCTCTACATCTGAGCAAGAACCCAGATTTTCTAGGGTTTTTGCTTGCACTCATAGTCTAGACCTGAGCAAGAACCACTTCTCTCAAGGAGGAGACTGTGAAGAATGCAACAATGGAGGTGGAGGGGCTAAATACTTTTCTGTAAGTGGGATCATGGCACCAGATTGAATGATGCCTGAACAGGGCTTCTGTTTTTCACTTCAATATGGTTTTGGTCTTATATGGATACCAACATATGTTGCATTTGAATGGTGCATGCAATCCACAAAGTCTGACCTTTTCCCCGTACCACTGATTTTTTTATATACAGTGGTACCTCAACTTAAGAACTTAATCCATATTGGGACTGCGTTCTTAAGTTGAAGCACCATTTCCCATAGGAATGCATTGAAAACCATTTAATCCGTATCTGCTGGTTTTCGTTCTTAAGTCGAAGCACTGTTCTTAAGTCGAAGCATTAGTTCCCACAGGAAATAATGCAAAGCCAGTTACTCTGTATCTACCACTAGGGGGTGATTTTTTTTTCTTCTTTTGACTTAAAGTGAACTTAGGTCAAAAAAAGGGCAGGAAAGGGTTTCTTTTTCTTCTTCTTTTGGATCTTAAGTCGAGGCTCCATTCTCAAGTCAAAGCAACTTTTTGCGAACGGAGCCGTTCTTAACTTGAACCATTCTTATGCAGGGACGTTCTCAAGTCGAGGTACTGCTGTACTTGCTCAAAAAAGAGTGACTTAATTGGATGTGTACTATTTAGGACTGATGTAAAATGCATTAAATGTTCACTGGGTTCTGGCTTCAATAAATGAGAAACCCTGTGTGAAAGATTGCATCCTAAGTGATTTAACATTGTTTCCGACTTAACATAAAATAAGTGTCAATCAAAATATGCACTAGATCAAATTAATATTCTATAAACACTTGTAGATGTTGTGATTCACACCACGACAAAACCATACCTTCATTTCCCACCCCCATAAGTAAATATGAGGTATTTGCTGGTTTAATTAATGGGAATACACCTGTTTTGCTTATCACAACAACTCCCACCTTCTCTCTTACTAAATGGAAATATCAATTTTTTTGAAAGCATCTATTTTAAAAGGTGAAAACAATGCTATGTTTGTTGTTCTTTGTGCACAATGGCCAAAATCTTGTTGTTTAGTTTAATAAAGCATACTTAGGTAGGCCTGTTGAATCAATGGGGAGTTCAAGAGGAACATCTCGAGAAGATATGGGAAGCGGCAGAAATGGATATACTATCAGAAGTGTTGAAAGACTGTCCAATACAAAAGGCAACTGAACAATGGGATTTATTATATAAATGGCTTGAGTCACCAGACAGAGCTTGAATAACATAGAATTAAACTAAGATGTAACTACTGTATAAGTTGAAACTTGGAGGGTAATCAAGTTGTAAAAAGGTAAAAAGTGGATATTGCAACATGAACAAACATTGTACATTTTATGTTCTCCTTCCTCCTCTCTCTTTTTTCCCCTACATCCCCCTCTACCTTTTGTATTCCTTACTTTATCCCTAGTTTTTAAAAATAAAAAATAAATTTTAAAAAAAACAACAATGGAGATTTTGTGAGTCAACTACTGCATAGGTTCTACTGATTCAAATGGGCATACTCTAAGTGCAGCTTATTAGGCTACAGTAAATTAGAGTAAGCCCATTTGACTAATGGAGGAGTTGACTTATCAAATTCCCATTGATTCAATGGGCCCACTCTTGGGCTCAGCAACAAGATTTGGGCCAGCAAATCCTAGTGAGTTTAATAAGAGCATACTCTCAAGTAAGTGGGTAAAGTGTTGCAGTTTTGGACTCACTGGAGCTTATATCTGGGCAGAGAAATCGCTATAACTACTGTTTAAGAATGGTATGATAGATGGTTGTTTGCTACCCAAAAGGCATCAACTTTAACATCTGATTATAGAAGTCTCAGCTGATGTCTCTGCTTAGGAAACAGTGAAAGTTTGATGCCATACAATGCATAGAGTGACCTCAGTAACTTGGTATTTCTGAAGCAATGGTTTTTGTGGCATTTATTTTTTAAAAAGCAATGCATAATAAGAGAGATTTTTCAGGCTTGCTTGCAACATACAGTTCTTTTCTCTGATGCTGGAATGATTTCTTATTCAGAATTATTGATGGCCGTGATCTGATGCCCTTGCTTCAAGGCACAACTCTTCAATCCAAGCATGAATTTCTCTTCCATTACTGTAATGCATATTTAAATGCAGTGCGCTGGCATCCAAGAAACAGTAAGTAAAATTGCCTGTTCAAATTTAAATATTTTATGTAATTTTTATTGTAACTTGAAAGTATCAGGGGAGGGGGAGGCCTTGGGCTATCGTTACAAATAAATTGCTTGAAGTAACTAACCCTTTTTATTTCCCCCCTTTTTATCTCTGTTATTCTTTTATCTTAGCATAAAAAAGCCAGTTAATATCAAAGAAACAATTTAGTATTACACAGTTAACTTGGTGCTGCAGAATGAAGTTCCACATCTTCTCTCTGCTAAAATCTCTGGTATCAGAACACATTTTAAAACTTTCAGATGAGTCTGTGAAGTCACACTGTGTTTGTGTCAAGGCCAGATTTCAGCAGTTTTATAATGTTGTTGCCTAATAGGACATATGAAGCTAATTTTGTACTGGTGTGGATCTACTGCTTCATCCAGTCCAAGAATCTTTGTTGTTTGTAGCTTACATTATGTTTTTTTTTGTACTAGTAAAGGTACAAAGCTAAGAAACACAAAAGCCCATATAGACCTTCAAGGCAGGGTTAACCATGTGAGGAGATGGAATTCCACACTCTCCTTATGAGGAAAATGAGAAGAGGCTATGCTATATGGAGGCTCCTCAGATCCTCAGGAATCCTGAACATCAAGGATTCTCCATGGCATGGAGAGGCTGCACACACAGAAGGCACTTTTCAAGTACCATGTTCCACAAATGGAGAGGGAGAAGGAGGGAAGAAGGTTAATCTTGCCTGGCATATCTGAACAGGGCTAAAGTATTCAAGGAACCAAGTGCAGGAACAATTTCAAGATCCCCAAGGACTAGCTATTATAATGATAAGAGACACATTTCCTGATGGCATGACAAAGGAGATGAATAGTTGTCTATCTAGCAATCTGCTCAAAGCAGAGTTGCCTTTTCTAATCTCAAGTCATAAGTCGGCCAGTGCAAATGAGTGATGATGTTATAAACAACAATGATATATATATGTTGATGGTTATGGTGAAATTTGTTGGTTGTCTCTCATATTTTTAGACCAGCTACAAATAGTATTAATTGAAAAGTTGGAAGAACTACTCAGGTGGCCCTCCATGCACCTGGCAAGGTGGGCTACAAAAAAGTGTTAGTCTTTGTGGTGCCACATGGTTCCTTGTTATTTTTCTCTGTAGAGATGGTTGTTGACAAACTCAGGGGAAAGGGACTTTAATTTCAGAACAGTCCATTAAGATTGTAATTTTAAAACTAGAGAATTCAGTTTCACAAGAGTTCGCTCAGATGTTCTTCCAAGTAAACATATACAGTGGTGCCTCGCAAGACAATGTTAATTTGTTCCGCAAAAATCGCTGTCTTACGAAAACATTGTCTTGCAAAACGAAAAAGCCCATTGAAATGCATTGAAACCAGTTCAATGCGTTCCAACGGGCTGAAAACTCACAGTCCAGCAAAGATCCTCCATAGGTGTGGCCATTTTTGCTGCCTGTAAAGTGGGGAATCCATCCCTAAACACAGCGGAGAGCCATTTTAATTACCTGGTGGCCATTTTGAACCCGCTGATCGGCTGTTAGAAAAACATCGTTTTGCAAAGAATTGTTTCCTGAAGCAGGGAACCGATCATTGCAAAGCAAAAAAAAATCCTATTTAAACCATCATTTTGCGATTGCAAAAGCGATTGCAAAAACATAGCCATGAAGTGGTTTCATTGTTTAGCGAGGCAATCGTTAAGCGAGGCACCACTGTATATATCATTGCACTACATGTCTCAACTAGAGATGGGGGTATTTGTACATTAATACAAATACCCCTGTACAGGTGGAAATAACGAGGGGCCAGCCCAGTGGGGCTGGACTGTCCACTCATGATTTTGCCGCTGCTGCCAGCTCTGTGCAGGCTTCCTATAATGCTGTTTTCTGCAATGGATTAGCCGCTCTCTGACCTAGCAGAGAGGCTTGTCCTCCGCCTCCTACCAGGACTGGGTAATCGATTGTGGTCAACAGCATGATAGGAAGCATCTGCGGAGCCGGCGGCAGTGGCGAAATCGTGAGTGGACCCTCGTTATCTCCACCTGTGCAGGGATATTCATATTCGTATACAAATACCCAAATCTCTAGTCTCAACTCATGTCAGGATGTAGTTGTGAGGAGGATTGGAATGCCAAGATGCTGGATTGGAATGCCAAGATGCTGGAATTTATTTGTACTACTTCCAGTTACTTAATGGATAGAACTAATTTTGAATTCTCCATGCTGTTATTGTCTCTGCACAATGGTGAAAATAGCACTTTTGTCTATCACACAATAGCACTTTTGGCACACACATAACATTAAAAATGTTGATTTCCCTCAGCTGCCACAAGAGAATGGTTGGTAGTGCAGCATATTAGTTCAGCATCCAGTTATCTTACTATATACCATGTTTTCCCGAAAATAAGACAGGGTCTTATATTAATTTTTGCTCCAAAAAGCACATTAGGGCTTATTTTCAGGGGCTGTTTTATTTTTTTCATGTACAACAATCTACACGTATTTAAATACAGTCGTGTCATCTGCTTCTGGTTACTGCACAATGGTGGAGGGCGGGGTTACTTAATTGGGGCTTATTTTGGGGGTAGGGTTTATATTATCAGGATCCTGAAAAATCATACTAGAGCTTATTTCCAGGTTAGGTTTTATTGTCAGGGAAACAGGGTAACAAATTCTACATCATTAGAAACTGAAATAGTGTTGGTGTTCCAGTGGAGTGATTCCAGTAAGTTTTCATGTCTGAGGAAACTTACTTGCATGATGGTGAACAATCATAGATCAAAGTAAGGTAATTCACAAGCTATGGAAACTGTGAAAAGTGCCTGTGGTAACAATCAGGTGTCTTTCACATGAGAAAGTAAAGCATACTCACTAAATTCTTCAATCTTGTTGATTCTTTACATAGTACCTTAATGAAGAATTTTCAATCTCCTTGAGATATTTTTACCTCTAGTTGAAATTGAGACAAAGAGCATGGATACACTGTGGAGTAAAAAAGTATTTGAATTGGGTCGAGCATGTTTTAAACAATGTTTTTAAAAGATGAATATACGGGAAGCATGGTTCTTGGTCAGAAAGCGAAGTATTTTACTGGGTGGCAAGAGCCAACTACACCAGAGCACAGAATGCTGTCCTCTGAAGATGCCGGCCACAGAGACTGGCGAAATGTTAGAAAGAACAACATTCAGAACACGGCCAAAGAGCCCGAAAAACCCACAACAACCCTTAGATCTTGGCCGTGAAAGTCTTCACAAATACAATGGATTAAAAGTTTTCAAAAAGAGACCTCACACACTGACTCAAATACCATGTGATTACCACATGACTTTAACCTGATTTCAAAACCACGAATCCAGCTGCCAATTCATTTTCATATTGTAACCATTCTCAAAGAGTGCTTTCCCCCCTTATAGTATGGCCATCATTTGTGCAAACTATCTCTGTAGCAAGCTAGTGCCCTTTAATTTTGAGAAGCAAAGAGCACATGCATGCCAATAGACACACACAGAAGACTGGCTGATTGTTTAAAAAGATGAATCTTCCTACATATCTAATCTACAAAACCTCCCACAACAAAGCAGCAGTCATCCTTTCAAGTGTGCAGTTTCCATTACTTCTGCTGAAGGATTATTTGTGTCCAAAGCCAGAGAATTTTATCATTCTCATCTTCTCCTGTTTCTTGAAAGCACCACAAGTGTCCTCCCTCCATAAGGAGAATAATTTTGTAGTTCCTGGTCCTCATGTGTAATAATTGACATCCCAGCACTTGACAGTTTTGCTCTTCTCCTGACACATTAGTTGTACTGTCTAGTTTAACCCTCATTCTTCTGCAAATACCTTTGGTATTTATAGACAGTTTTCAGCCCTGAAGGAGAACTCCCAATGCAGTATGAAATATGCAAGATAAATAATCTGAACCAATTTTGAACGATAAAACAGATTAAGGCAAGGGAAAACAATCATATTGGATGCTAACTACCCTTCAAGTTTAAAGCTCCCCAAAAGTAAAAGTAAGCAGAAAAAAAGAAAAAGAAAAGAAAAATAGGTAAAACTAATCATAATTAAAAACATTAAATTGCAATGCGTTAAAAACAAGGATACCACAGCAAAGAAATAAAACAGGAGGCATAAAGGAAGAAGACCCTTCTAAAAGCAATAAGAACACTAAAAACAATTAGTGCTATAGAAACAAAAGACTACTCCAAAAAAGAGAGGGACATGGCAACAGAGGGAGAAGGCAGAGAGGGAGGCACTGGTAGCACAATACAAAAAGGAGCTAGCACATTGATTCCCACAAGAACCACTGAGGCAAAGCATTTCCCTCACTGGGATCCAATCAACCCAGACTCTTTAACAGGTTCGTAACATGAATGTTCTGATTGGCTGCTGACAGCAGTCCTTACGATTCATTGGATGAAAAATTTCCTGGGCAATTTCCTAAGTGATTTAACAGATGACGGATGAAGGAAAGAGCAACTAAGAGAGGAAAACACAAAAGAACTTGAAACTGTTGTGTGTCCCTTTCATCTGAGAATCAGATGATGTGTAGCCTGCATAATTAAAATTGTAAACTGCCCAGAGAGAAATTTAAGCACTATGGGACAGTATATAAGCATACACTTTTGTATTCTCGAAGGCTTTCACGGCTGGGATCTGATGGTTGTTGTGGTCCCACAGCTATAAATACTCAACTATCCAAACAAACTGCACCAGAGTACAGACAGCGTTCTGACTCCTGTCCTCTAAAGATGCCAGCCACAGAGACAGGCAAAACGTTAGGAAGAAAAACCTTAAGAACATGGCCAAACAGCCCGGAAAACCCACTACAACCATACTTTTGCTTTACTTTGTCAAATCACTTCTGATTTACAGCGACCCTTGCCAGGTTTCATCAGAAGTGATTTCCCATTCCTTTCTTCTGTTGGTGCTCTGGGACTTTGTATCTCACCCCAGGCTACACAGGCTGGCTTTTCTCTGGAAGGCACAGTAGGGAATCAAACA